CAAAAAGACGAGACGAAAAAACCTCAACCAGGGCACCACCGTGACAGTATTTCCTTCTGTATTCAATTGTGCGTAAACTCACTTTGACAATGAACTGCACGGACGACCTCTCATCTGGCTGGTAGGTGACACAGTACAGGATGAAGCCCAGGATGGAGACTAAGCACAGCTGCAACAAACCAGAAAACGGGACATCCGTAAAGTTAAACCAAGCCATATGAATACCGAGAACTTATTATACAGTATGCGAAAGCTTAAAGACAACAAGTCCCTTGTGATCATTATGTATGATCAGGTTAACTGGCAGTGATAGTATAGGGACAAGAATCTTGTAGTACGAAATCATGTGTGCTGGTGTTTTTTCAAGGATATTTCATCGTATTGCATGATTCAGCAGTAAGAAGCTATGAGATTAACTTTTGTCTCTCCCTCTCCTCTTCCCCTCACGCTCACAGAGACTGGCACTCTATCTCTTCAGCCCAATTTGCAGTCTTGTGACTAACGTGCAGCATCTTATTTGAATGTTTTTCCCAGGTTCTTAAGCACTCAGGATTCTCTGGAAGGTTCTGGATGACCTCAATGTTTTTCACTCGGCTGGATCTCGTGAGGATCTAACTCGGGATGTTGGTGTCCAGGGATGTTTTTCGACAGCAGATCAGATCTCTGATAGGCAAGAATAAGACTCTGAAAAACATGTTTTTGTGACCTGAACTCTTTTTGCCATAAATAATAATCAAGATAACCCTTTTTATGGTTTTACAAAGAAAGATGATTTCTGCAATGAAAAAAAACAGCTTGAAATGTTATTTTGTATCTGTGGTGCATACATTTAAGCTGCTCAATCACTGTTGAATTTTAACATGAACAAATGGAAACTTGTTGTTCTTCAAGTTAAATCTTTTTGGCATGAGTTTAGCAGTCCTTTACTTTCATTTTAAAGCGTTCACACATGTGTTTTTCTCTCTATATTTCTGTTCATTTACTTGATGTGAGAATAGGCCTTAGGTTTCATCACATGTTTGTGGCCAGAGGTAGGGCTGAGGAGGGCATCGCCATGCTGCATGATGAAGTACGCTGTCATCTGTCCAGATGTTGTGAACTTCTCCTGATCGCATGCAAAAAGCCGAAGGTGAAGGCACGGTCACGTGACTGAGATGGATGCGTTCAGAAGGGGCTTTCCCCTGCCCGTGATTGTTAATGATTGTTGAGGGCCTGTGTTGACATGCAGTTTTGTAGCGGGGGGACAACACGGCGAGGGAGTTGTGCATGCGCAAACATCACAAACCGGACACTCGGGTTCCATGCAAACAGGCGTCTGACGACAGAGCTTACAACGATGCCGGCCCAGTGAGGCGTCTCCCGGGCCAAAAGCGAGGGGCTGACGGCCACCGTAAGGAAGGCCACAACTGTGACAGCCACCCCCAACAGCAGCTGGAGCAGGGCGACGAGCAGAGGGAAACGACAAACTCGGCACTTTCCGCCGTCCTCCGGCGCTGGGCTCTCATCCCTCTTCTTCCTGCCCTCCTTGTCTGAGGAACCTTTACGCCCCTGTCCCATATTGCCTGCTGCCTTCTGACTTTTTCCCCCCTGTTTGCCCTCACGGCTCTTACTGTTACAGTGTTTGGGGTGGAGGACTGCCTGCCGTCTGCCACTCACCCCTTCCCTTCCCTTCCCTTCCCTTCCCCTCCCTTCCTGCTCTAACCAAGCCCAGCTCAACTGCTATTTGAAAACAGAGACGACTCTGAACTAATATGGAAAACATTTGGACTGGATTCCTGCAGCCGCTCCAGTGCCACATATAGAGCAGGCAGCACACTGAGGGGAGAGGGAAGGGAAGGGAAGGGAGGCAGCCAGACACAAAGGGGGATTCCAACGTGCGACAGGGAGGTGGTTTCTCCTGTAGTAACAGGGGATGAGATGGGGGGGGGGGGGGGGACACACAGTCAAATCAGCAGGTATGAGTTAATGAAAAGCTATCACTAAGGAGCTCACACTTCATTAGAGAGCAGGAGTGACTGGATCACTCTTTGTCAGCACTGTTACACAAGAGAGACATATGCTGCCAGCTAGAAAAGGTCACATGACAAACAGGAAGAGGTAATGTGATCATAAAGCATGTGAGGACATTACAAGGGCTCAGATTTAGGTGTTTATGAACACTTGTGAGCTAAATAAAGACAAACAGGTGTCACACAAAGTCTCTCATTTTCTAGAGTCAATCAAAGTTCTATAATTTAGGTAACTCCAGAATATTTCATTTGAGCTTTCATGATTTTGTATGCAGTAAACATATTTACTGTTTGCACAGTGGTCCTGTTTTGGGAAAAACAAACTGTTTCATTTTGCCACGTCACGAACAAAGAACTCAAATAAAAAAAATTCAGGCACAATAACATTCGTAGAAAGGTGTGAGATAATCGCCCATGTGGAGAGGAATAAAGAGACACCACGCACGTGTCTGAGCACACGGTTGGGCTGGTGTCATGGTTACTGACAACGCAGCTTTGGAGATCTGGTGTGTGAGCAGGTAATCCTGCGCTGCGGCCACCGACCTGGACACTCCCCCGGTTTAACGCACGCCCTATAGTGACCACACACTAAGATCCCCGCTGCCAGAGAAGAATTGACTAAAACTTGTTAAGTAGTGGGGGCAACTGGTTTTCAAAACATTCCAAAACCGGAAAACACTGTAATAAAACCACTAGAAGCGGACCTGTGTGTTTACTCCAGGGGGTTCTCTCATTCTGGACCACACCGAGCCCGTCTGTGCAATAAATACACGTGCTGCGAAGTTTTTCTGTGTCGTTGGATGCAAAAAAAACAAAACGCTTTGAATATTCTTCCGCCTTTACGCACGAGTCTTTTTCCCTCTGCGAAATTTCGCGCACGGATCACGTTTCAGCAGCCAGGTCACAATGGTTCAGCCTCCATCCGCCGGGGAGCGCGCACACACACACACACACTCACACACACACACACACACACGCACAAGGTCTAATTACTGGACTTTGTGCTGGTGCAGCCTACACGTGAGACGGAAGCTGTTCCCGACCGGAGGCGCGCGTGCGCTCTCACCACAGAGGCGAGCCGACGGCTTTGCAAAGTGGCAGCTCCTGCTCGTGTAGACATCAGTCTGAGGCGCAGCTCCACCGGAGGACACACTCTGTACGCCGTCTCCTCTCAGTCCGCGTGAGTCGTGGAATAACACAACTATTCTCTAACCCCCCAAAACTCCGAAAAAAAACCCAGATCACCGGCAGCAGATTTGGAATGGATGAAAGATTACCGCATTTACAGGACAGACAATTCATGGAGCACGCAGATTTCTTAGGGTGAGTATCGCTTTTTGGGGAAACTCTTGTCAAACTATGGGTCGTAAACAGTCATGACAGCCCTGTGAATTAATGGTGCACTTTCCTCTTTAGGGTGGATTACCCCCCGCTCTACATGTGCAAATCCAAACGAGGGATAAAAAGAGAGGATGGCGGAAAGGTGCGCGCGTTTTTTCTCTTTTTCTTTACGCGAATGTCAAGTTTTCTGTTTGTGAAACTCTTCTTAGCCGGTGTCATTATACGTCTAAGCGTCTAATGCTTTAATGGCCACTCTAAAAGGCTTGTGTTTTCCGTGCCACCAGGACGCGTACAAGTTACCACACCGGTTGATAGAGAAGAAGAGGAGAGACAGAATCAACGAATGTATCGGCCAGCTGAAGGATTTATTACCCGAACATCTGAAGCTTTCGGTAAGATCACGACACTCGTAAAAGTTTTTTGTGGTGCCCCGGTGATTATTCTAAATAGGCAACATCTAACCACTAAACTGAACATTTGCATTTTCCCCGACAGACGCTTGGACATTTGGAGAAAGCTGTTGTCCTGGAATTAACATTGAAACATTTAAACGCACTGACTGCTGTCACTGAGCAGCAGCACCAAAAGATTATCGCTTTACAAAATGGTAAGATGAAGATGCTTAAAACTATGTGCATAAACTAGGCTTTTTGGGGATACTTTGTCTAAAAAATCGGGTTGAGGAATGTACGAGTTTATGGCTGCTTGAAGAAACTTTGTAAGCCAACTTATGCTAACGACAGCCCACAAATATGAATATATTTTAATGTGCATATTGAGATTCAGCCAGAAACTCGTCATGCAGGGTGTAACTGATAAAGACGAGGCATGAATGACAACGATATTCTACTCTTAAACATTTTTGCAGGAGATCGGTCGATGAAATCTCCCATCCACGCTGATCTGGACGCGTTCCACTCCGGGTTCCAGGCTTGTGCCAAGGAGGTCCTGCAGTACCTGAGTCAGTTTGAGAACTGGACGGCGAGAGAGCAGAGGTGCGCGCAGCTGATCGGCCACCTTCACAAGGTTTTGGCTCAGTTCCAGTCCGGCGCGCCGCCGCTCCAGCACCAGCCGGCCGGCGGGGACGCACAGGACGGCCAGAAGCCTGACAGCCAAGCTAATTGCGTCCCGGTCATCCAGAGGACCCAGGCCGGAGAGCTTAACGAGAACGACACAGACACGGACAGTGGATACGGCGGCGAGGCGGAAAAGAGCGACGGCAAAGAAAAAGAATGCGAACGCAACAAGGCGCAGGGACCCAAAACCGTCAAGATAAAGCAAGAGTTCGGAGACGACCGAGCTGCCAAAAAACCAAAGATGAGCTGGCCCGGGAGCGGGGTCGGGGGCACAGACACAACCCGACCGGACTTGGCGTTTATGAACTCTCTGATGGGAATAAGCGGCGTGGGACAGCAGACGCCACTGTGCATGCCTTTTTACTTCATCAACCCGTCAGCTGCCGCGTCCTATATGCCTTTCTTCGACAAGAACAACATTGAAAAGTACATGTACCCGGCGGCGGCGGCTGCTCTGGCCTCCCCCTTCCCCTGGCTCTACCCTGCGCACGCGTCCGCAGCCGCGGCCGCGGCGGCCGCCGCCGCTTTCCCCGGCCTGTCCGCGCACCTGGGGGCCTCCCCCCTGCCCAAGGACTCCCACTCCATAGACGACGACGAGGCTGAGGCGGGCTCACCTGAGGACCGCGACGAAAGTCCGGCCAGTGACGACGGCGAGGGTGACGTAGGTGAAACGTCTCGAGAGGGCAACAGCAGTCCACAGGAGCAGCTTTACGCATGTCAGACCAGCTAATAAATCAATGTACCTCCTCTGTGCATTGCGCTGCGCAGGTTATGTGTTTCAAATTTTTAAAGTTGGGCCTGTCTTAAAACGGGGGTTTCACCGAGGAGTTTGACGTGTACAGTGTCTCGGTGAAAGAGGGGACAGTTGTAACAGCGCGTGCCTTTTGCACTTATCTGCTCGATAAAACAATCTGAATGACCATCGACGATGATTGACACTTCACGGCTGTGTTGTGCTGCATTTAGTTTTATATCCTCTTTGATAAAGCATTTTGACATGGCAGCATTGGTGCCAAACCTTTGAGTACCACTACTGTGCGCAATATCTCAATCAATGATTCTCTTTCAATGTGTGAAGTTGCAACTGACCTCTGCCTCTGATTAACACCCTGGCACACCCTGACTGTAAATATTACCTTGAAGCTAGTCTGATTCATCAACGTGTAAATGTGCACTAAACTGATCCTATAGAAAAGCTCCTGGAAGTGTAATGCCCCATTACCTCATCTGTAACTTTGCATGGGGGGAGAGGCCCATGGGTGGACACACCAGTGTCCCCACTGATAACCCAATGGTACCCACTTCCCAACATGCACAAACTCTCTGTCATGGACAACAGAAACACAGCCAGCTCTCTCAATAAACAAAGATTTGAAATGAAAAAGGGAGAGCTAAACCGTCTGAATCCCTTCTGTTAAGTATTTTTTAAGGTTTGCTTTGCTTATCGGTTTGTCAGACAGGAAGTGCTGAAATTAGACTGACTGACTTTACCAAAATGGTAAGTTCCCTGAATGAAGGATTTTTGCACAGAGATGCGGGGACCTCTGTACCTCCAGGAAACATTGTAGGATAGCACCTTATAGATCTTTGATATTGAATGTACCTGTATTTTCCCAGCTGTTAAGGTTTCTATGTAGGATGATCTTTACTCTTTGAGACGTTAAGTGCACTTTTTCTGCTTTTACTCCCCCCAGCAGTCACTTTATCATTTTGAAAGTCAATCACTGTACTTCTCTTTGACCCATCCCATTGTGTTGAACTGTCTTAATATAAAATAAGATTTATCTAAAACAAAAAAGGACCCTGGCTGCTTTTTTGTGATTCCATTCAACATAGTAGTGATTTAGCAATTTCCCCAATTTCACAAATGGCTGCTTTCCAGCTCTTTCATGAGAAAATCATTATCCGATTTGGGAACCTGCAAGTCTTTACACATCAGGCGAACACTATGTAAAACCGATCAAACTGGGAGAGATGCTGTGGTCATTGCCATGTTAAGAACATTATCTTGGCCTCTTTTCTAATTCCTGACAATGTAGTGATGCTCTGCTTTTTAAAGATTTACCTTTGACTGAATAAACACCATTCATTGTGTTTTGCATACATGACAATGCTTTTGTAGTTTTACTCAACTGGTTTTGCCTCAACTCTCTTATTGACTGTAAAAAGTGGCATGTATGTTTGTAAATATTTTTTTTTGTGAATATACCATTTAGTATACATGTCTTTATCAATGTTGTAGAGGTCTATGGATTTTTAAAACTGTTGCACATTTCGTTAATGCTTTACACATATGCTGTTCTAAATTATTGCTTAGTTGTAAAATAAATGTCAAAATCTAAGCTTTGCAGCAGTCTTCTTGTTCCTCACATATGTGGTTTGTCATCATAGTCTTCTAGGTTCACAAATGCAATACAGAGGCAGTGTAATATTTCAGCCAATGCTGAAATCATGCAAATTATTAGACAGCTGGCAATTTATATTTGTGACAAAAGGGTTTAGTGTACAATAGCACTAAAACCACTTGCAAGCAAAATACTAAAAGTTGAGCGGATGGAATGTAATGTAACAATCAGCTGACAGGTCACAGCAGAGGAATGTACAGTAAGCCATGGCTTAAAAAAAGTCATGTGATAAAAGGGTGATGAAGAGAGATTACAGTCAGTCTGCACAGACGGATGAAAAACAAGAGGCCTCCTCCCAACTTGTCAAAAGCTTTAAAAGGATGAAAACTGGTCTTTGTTGTTGCCACTAATTGGCCTGATGTGACTTCAGGTTAAGCTTTTCAAATAATTGCAATGCTCGGTTGCCATTTCTTATTGTTTTCTCTTTCGTTTTAAGGAACTTTGGCAATATGAGTCAGATTACATTCACTTCACAGCTTTCAAAGAGGGAGCCTTGTTTATTTTAGATCATTCGTAGAACGCTATAATGAATAAATAATAATGAAAGTCAAAAACAAATGTGGATTGTCGGCTTTTGCATTCTGAACCTCTAACTGTAGAGCAGCAACTTGTTATAAAAAAACAAACAAAAAACCTTTCTTGACCAAACATGGGGATGCCTGGAAGTTTGTGTAACCCCTTTGGTTTTCTTTTAAACCAACCTACCAAAGGTGGTTGAAAAGTAAAGTATAAAACAAGAGTGATCAAATTATGATCAGTTTAGTGTCTCAAACTATGCTAATTTATGTATTGGCTATTTTGAACATGAAAGTAGAGTCAGGTGCTTTCAGTCACAGGGGCAACAATCTGGTGACAGTAGGCCATTTTATCATCCTGTCGTAAGGATCTAAATTTAATCTCCACAACAAATCTACCGAACTGTGCAGTGGTTCAAACAAAGGAGATCTGAGGAAGTCAGAAAACGGGCTGCAAATGCTAAACAAAGTTGAAACTGTTAGTAAACCATCTCAAGAAAGTTGGGAGTCAAGCAGCTCATGGTCACACCAACAAATAATTCATAAAGAGTAAGTTTTAGTTAATATTCCGCTGTGGCTAATGCAAAGTCCTGTTCTTAATCTGAGTTAGGAAACCCACAAACGGACTTCGTCTCGCCCTGCACAGAAAAACATGGTCAGATTGATCCCAGCCAATCGCCACTGATCAACAGTTAGCAGAAACTCTACCAGTTAGAAAGGGAACGACGCCAGTAATGAAAGCTGAAAGTTCACACATTGTGATTTGAGACATGTCATGTTGGGACATTCAGTTAATAAATGAATGAACAGGAGCAGCAATTTCCCCCCAATATGTTTAGGCTCTGCTATTCATATTTGTGTTAAAAATAAAATAGAAGTTTGATTTGGGTTGTATGTGTGACCTGTTGCAGAAACGGGAAAGATTCTTCAAGCTTCATCAAGTTACTTGCACCACCATAAGCAATTATGTCATTCACCTTATTTAAACATAAGCATCATGAATCATTATGTAAAGCTTAACTAGCAATGTGCACACCAACAGCTTTTCTTCTCATTTAATTCTACACTCAGTAAGAAAAAACTTGATTTTGCCTGTTCTGGAGAGATTGTTGGGTAGATGTCGCCCTCTACTGGTTAATTAGTTGCATGACGGACCTGCTAAGACATCAAATTTGATCATTTTCTTTATTGAACCATGCAATCCATATCATATCAGCAGCCTGTTACAACCATACACACCCATCAACACGTTGCAGTATATTAAGGCAGGGAAAATAAAAAAACAGGTTATGTACAGTTGACATCTCAGAGTTGTCTAGATATGCAGTTGTAAACAGTGACCACAACTATGTGACAGTACAGGTTGAAACTACAGGACACATCTGTTGCATGACAAGGAGGAATAAAAAATAAAAACTAATTAAATGTTAGTACAAGACATAGTATTATGGTAACAACACAGAGGCAAATACAAAGTACTAAGTGTATTCAATCATTTGACATTTCTACAAAACAGACAGAAAAAGGATTTTTCTTCATTGTCGTGCTTTTAACATTTGTTGCAGAAAAACTAAAATCTATGGACACGTGATCTTAACTCACTGATCACTCCTTCAACCACCCCCACTAAAAACTTCAGTCTACATTATTTGAACACGCCATCGTGGAATGAACATAAGGCACTTTGATGTGTTTAGCAGCTGAACTACAACCTAAGACTGGCTTCATAACTTGGCTGTTCTGGCTTGACACACACAGGAAACTCTAAACTCACCGACTTGCAGACATTTCTGATAAACATGCGGACAAACGCACCCGAGCCTCTTTCATCACCGGCTCGTGCTCCGATCCACATCGTATCTGTGGCCATTCGCCGGAAGGTTACATGCCGCCACGTTTAGATCAGCCGATCTGCTGCACCACGGGTTCTCTGCACATTCATATATGGCCCACACAATCATGCAACAAGACCCGCTAATCTTTGGCCATGTCATATTTAGGATAAAAACAAGCATAATACATTCAAAAATATATACTGTGTAGTCATAAAAACAACAAAAAAATATCTGCTTAAGAGGATAAGAACACTGTTTAAATATGCAGCTTTACTGCTGGAGTCAGAGGCTGCGTCTTAACTGCATATGCACCACTTTGTCGTGAAATATACCAGCTGGATAAGAAAAGCTGAAAAGTAATAAAACATTTACAGTAAGCTATCATTTTGGTAAGGACAGACATAAACATTCTTCGGTAACAAAACCATTAACCATTTGTGCATAGTTTTAACTTCAACAAACAGAGCACAGTAAGAGATGGTTCACAGTTTTACTACAGATAAAACTGAATCCTTCATTATTATAAGAACCAGTCACGCTAGTGGACAAATAACACAGAGTCACATACTATTCTTGTGAATACCGTCCAGAAAGCAACAGGTTTCTGATCAAGATGCTAAGAGGAGAACTAAATTAATCATACAGCAGGTACTAAAGTGAGGGTCAAAGTACAACTAGTGGATATGTTTACATAGGAAGTCCACAACAACCAGACATTTAAGAGAGTAAAGTGTTCAGAGACTGTGCACCATGGGACATGGAGGTGTTGCTGGGTTTCTTAGAAACCTTCTAGTTTCTTTTACTCATGTCCAACAAGTGCTCTTTAACTTTCATTCAGAGATTGTTTCTTCACACCAAAAGTAGCTTTCAGGTAATAAAAGGAAGAATAAATGCATAGTCATGTGCCATGGAGACGGGCTGTCCGTACACACTGAGGGCTCACACGTAGATCCCCTCTGGGTTGAGTCCGGAGCTGAGGGGGCTGTGGAGGACACGGAGGTGGCTGGAGATCGCGTGAGACGAAACCGGACGCTTCAGGGAGCCTGTAAGTGGAACTAAATCTGTGAAGAAAAGATGCGACGACGAAATGAAAGTTTACCTCATAACATTTGACCAGTGGAGCTGTGACACGTGACAACTTAACCGCACCAGTGCAGGATCATCGAAGATACAGCTCAGATCCCCTAACAGAGATTTTAGCACACGTTCTTTTCTAGAATTAATGTTGTTTCAAAGCTTGACAAACTGAGTTCTTTTTCCACAAAGCTTTTCTAGTTAATCCCAAGTGATGCCTCATTAAATATTTGTGTAACCACTGGGGGGCACAATTGAGCCTTGGATAGAATCAGACAAGGGCAGGGGGAGTTAATTGCCAGGCAATAACGCCTTTCTTCATTTCCACAATTGAATTGGAAGCTTAAATGAGGTTAATCACAATTCATTTATCGCTTTTCATAATTCAAAACAGTTACTGTTAATAGTCATTAAGATGCCCAATCCTTTAAACAATATTATGGTGGCAAGCAGTTCAAAGAGTATCTGGAGACCCATTCTAGTTACGATGGTTAACCATTGGGATTTGAATAAGTGCATATAGGTATAAACTGTTTAAACTGAACCATTTAAGCATTCTGTCTCTATATTCTTATGGACCACACGATAAGAGCATGACATTCAATTTGAGCACTCGTATAATAATAATAATAATATATTAAGTGTAATCTTCTGACTTTCCTCTTCAGTTAGAGCCCATGTGGAATATAATGCTATCAAAATCTAAAATAGATTTGATTCAAGTTTGTACAATGATTGTAGATTAACGCCTTTTGCTGTGGAACTTAGCAACTTGTTTAAAAGACTAAACTGTTTTGTGAGCTGTACTTTCAGCTCTTGCAAGGTTAAAAGAACAGTGGGTGATCATTTCCAACTGTGCCTCACACTGCTTTATCTTAAAGTTTTTAAGCAACCATCTGGCAATTAAGAGTCCACAGCTCATGTTTTCTTGCCCTAAACATTGAGTGCTCTTCGTTTATGTGCCAGCTCTTTGCTGGTTTCCTGTAGGATGACAGAGTTTTGGTCCAAGTATCATCACAGAAACTGCTGAGCGCATCATTGGAACCACATGATGGACGGATGGAGGATAGACAGAATGCAGAGTGGATGAACGGCTTCTGTCTGCACACGGGCCACTGTTGGCTGGCAGCCTGTAACTTCCACTTTAAATGGAGCAGAAAGATGGGTACTGCCTGTACTTCTCATTACCGCCTTCGTCTCCTCGTTCTCTGAATCACAAGCTAACTCACACAGAACTGAGTCATTTTCTCTCAGCAGGCTGCAAAGACAAGAGTCCACAAAGCGAGTGGTGTCTTTTTTTAGACTTTAGAGTGGCTGCATTGACGCAGAGGAGCTGCTCTTTGAGAACACAATGAAATATGTAATTAGCTACAGATTTGAATGACAGCCGAATCGGAGGTGCTTTTCTTAATGGCGTTACCTATGCTGTGGCTGTTGCTGGGGGCCTCGTCCTCGGTGGGCTCGGCTGGCAGCACTGTGACTTTGGTTCCGGTCTGCTTGATGAACTGCTGCAGGTTAACCTGCCTCAGCTCCTTGGTGAGCAGCTCCAGCTCGTGCTGCATGTCCTTTAAACAAACCAGAGGGGAAATGATGGCTTTGAAGTTACAATAAACCCACAGCAGCGGCTGAAAATCTAAAAAAAGGACACAGTCTAAACTTTAGCAGCATTTCATGACTGATCTTTTACAGGTTTAGATTTTGGCTATGGAAAACCTTTTTAACTTGGTCTGAATTGTTTCTGTTATGATAGCGTCTACTGGTGCAGCCTTGAGTTGTTAGCCTTGAGCAGAGATGAGGAGCAGGCTTATTTTAAATAAAAACATTTGTTCTGTTAAAATGACCTAATTGTTACACAACATGTCTTCCTTTGGATTCCCAACAGGACGCTAAGATTTTAAGTTGTGAAATATTAGGAAGTTGTACTCCCTCGACAAGTAAACAGGTCTTAAAATGTTCTCATCACACGTCTCACCTGCAGTTTCTTGCTGCTTTGACCAAGGGATCTGTCCACAGCCCGGCAGCTGCTCTCCAGCTGGACAGCCTGTCTCTCTTGGGCTTTCAACTCTGTCTTGACCCTGAGGACACGAGTCCGAGCCTCGGCCTCACTGACCCACTGCGTCTCCTGCCGTTCTCTGAGCAGCTTCTCCTCTTCCAGGCCTGCTTCCACACCCTAAAATTAAGAAAGAAAGAAAGAAAGGATGTTAAAATGACTTCTGCCTAAAAAGAGGGGACCAACTGAAATATACCATCATCCCAGGAGATGCTAGACAAAAAGTTCAATACTGGATTTAAAAAACTTGAATATTCCAGGAAGATCTGAGACTGACAGCGCACCTGTACCATGGCCAGCTTTTCTTTGATCTCCAGCTCGCAGCCCTGCAGACGTCCCCGCAGCTCTTGCAGCCTTTCCTCCAGCTGTCTCTCGCTCTCCAGCTCAATCTGCAATTCGGTGGCCCAGAATTCTTCCTCCTCCATTTCCACCTCATTTTTCTTCAGGTGCTTCTCCAACTTCAGGATCTCCTCCATTAACAGCGCCCCTCCGCCCAGTCCCACAGTGCATCCGGCCCCTCGGCCCCCGCGACTTTCAGCCAAGGCTTGGAGCTCGGCCTCGTAGGCCTCCAGCCTCTGCTCCAGCACGTTCAGAGTCTCTCTCTGTAGGCTCACCAGTCGGACCAGGTCCTCCATGCGACAGGCCCAGAGGCCAGGGGAAGCCGTGCCCCCGTACAATCCTGCATGGTGGAAGTTTCCGCCATTTCCCATCAGGAGTCTCCTCTTTCCCTCGGCCTCGCCGAGCCGGCCCCCGCTCAGGATGTCCCGGAGGCTTCTGGGCGTCCCCGTGAAGGTGAGAGACTTGCGGCGGGGCTCGCGCCGGCGGAGGGAGCGATCGTTGGGGTGACGGAGCTTTGCGAGCGGAGGGAGACTCTGACGATGGAGCCCGCGTTCGGGCCCCCTGAGCGGAGGGCCCTCTGAGGGGGGGCGCTCCGTCAGAGATGGGCCTGTGCGGAGCAGGATCAGCTGGACATCGCCGGCGTACTGACCCCAGGTGTTCAGAGAGGCCACAGGGCTCTCATGAGGTGCGAGGTGACGCTCTGTGTCCCGCCATTTTTCTACAAGAGTGTACCTCCCCGTTCGACCTGCAAACAACACAAACACATTTAGACAACTGAAGAAAAGAAGAGGTTTGACACATGAGCTGACCAGCCACTGTGATGTAAAATGAAGTAAAACATAGATAAGACTGAGAAAAAAAAAACTTTAAAATAAAATTAAGAAGATCCATACATCCTATTTGAAAGGGGACAATTTTGTCAACACCATTAGGAATATTTTACAAGGTCAGAAATTTCAGTTAATAAGTAAAGGAGATAGCACAACCTTGTTGTTGACAGCGGTTGTATTTACTTCCATAATCTTAACATATCAGCCCCCCATTACAAAGTGTAGTTCTATAATATAATTGTGTTAGTTTTCAAAAGAATATCAGCCCAGAAAAAACAAAGACATAACTGAAAATGTCTCAGAGTGGCATCATTAGGGGAAAGCAACATAGAAATCACATCCTCACTTAGACGGCTGGGGACGTTTTATCAGCGTTAGACAAACAAACTACATTTATAACTGTGAGATCATCCAGTCAGTCTCAGTGTTTGGTGGTTCACAAGAGTTCCCCTCAGATCTAGTTAGAGAGGTAGAGCAGTCAGGAAAAAAATCCAAACTGAACAGTCATCTGAGCAGTGCAACAGTACATCCTCTGATCACCCCCCAGTTTCAGAGCCTTTCACATTCCATTGCATCATGGGGACGAACTGCTTCATGCTTGTTAGAGGAACTCTGTTCACAGTCATTTGTAGAATTGTACAGACAGAGATGCTTCTTAAATGTCAAAGTGCCAAATGCATGTCCAAATCTGATAACTTAATATGTTGTCCCATACGTGTTAAATACCAAGAAGCAGAGGAGGGGGGGGGGGGCTCAGAAAGAAGTGCTGCTTTCACAGTTTGGCAGGAGACCGAGGGATGAGTCAGACTTTCCCTCCTCCTCCCCCTGCGCTTTGTGGGAAGTGATGTCAATACAGTATGCTCAAGTGCCCCCCGTTCCTGAAGGAGCCATATGTGAAAGTGTGCTGCTTAAATCCAAGAAAGCACCAATATAGCTCCTGATTATGGTCCACTGCCTCTCAGCAGGAGCTTACCAAGTAGGCAGGGAAGATGAGAGTTGTTTACTTCATCAGGACTTCTTTTCGGTTTCCAAAAGAGGCAGCTTGGCATTTTATAAAGACTTAAAACCCAGATTAGAGCTGGGAGTGGATAAATGAAAATCAACTCTGTGAAACTGCTCCGTCTATACATTCTTGAAAAGATAATCTAATGTAAACATGGAACTAATGGAGGTTTACCAAATGCTATTTGTAACCCTCTTTTCCACCATCACAAATTCTCTAATAGACATGATTAAACATGGTGCAGGAAATATTCAGAATACTATAATAATTCAACAAATACAAACATGCTTAAAGCTAAAATGAAAGGAAGAAATAAATACAAAGGTCAATATCATAGCAACAAAGCAGATTTCCAAATTTAGTCACGAGCACTGCAGATGTCCTCCATTACCTATGGCCTGCGCCAAAGCAATCACTACTTCCTGGCAGGTGGTTGCTTCTGTGACCCCACACACAACTCTCTGGACTCCGTCCACCCAGACTTTGAGCTCCATTTTGGGTCAGAAGTGAGGGGGCCAGTTGTGGTGGGTTGGCCTCATCGTTTTTGAAGACTGCAGTGATGCCGGGTGGCTGGAAACCCTCTGGCTAATTCACTGTGGAGGAAACGCAGGGAAAAACAGGAAACAGTTAGTCAGGATGTACTCAAGGCCAGAGTTACAAGGCTAATACGCCTGCAAGCATAAGTAGTGAGTTTATCAGCAAAAAAATGGCATATTTTAGCAGTCACTTAGAAGTTAAAGGACAGTCCAGGCCAGATGGAACCTCTGGGTCACCTAGCTGTAACACTGGAGTTTTGTTCTCTATGAGTAGGCACACATCTGTTGGGGGTGCAGGAAGAATCTGTCAGCAGACCTTTTCAAGCACATTTCCTGCTTTTGTACTGGCAATTAGATGGAAGAGAAGACAACAAAAAATAACTTCAGAATCAAATATGTTCACAACAAAACTTCAGCGGATGTGTAAATACTAACTAGTCTCTCACCTCATCAGATTTACAAATCTAAATGTGCACATTTGTTGACAAAAAGCCCGCATCTAAATTTAGGGCGCCTACAAACAGTTTCTCAAGGACAAGTCAAGAAAGACGGAATGAAGAGCTGCTCACTCTTTGAGTATAACCATCTGTGCACCTACAACACTGTGTCAAACGGTCCTTTTGTTCACCGACTCTCCGGCAATTACACCTCCCCCAGCCCACATATTCCCTTTCTGGATTCCCAAAGTCATCCACATCATTCTCTGGCGTATCCTCAAGCAACTACTCCTCAAAATATGTTTAAGACACCATACATTACTTAGATATACACACGTGTGTGTATATATATATATATATATAGGAAATATAAGAGTAAAAGTACATATTGCATGTTCAAGGTGACATCTACAATAGGCTTATTTTCTCCTGCCACAGGCATCATACAAAATGACATACGTTCATATTACAGAGGTGAAATAAGCACACATTTGACTATATAGCTTGATAAATGCTTTTAAAAAAATCCCACAATTGTTAGTCTGATTAATAAAAAGCCCTTCACTCAAAAGTGGGCCGTGTCGTTCTGCTCATTTCAGTCCTAATCTGCTGTGCGCGGCTGTGCATTCGTCAGTGAAAGAGTGTCACCTTTGTGGGTCGTCTGCTCACACTATTCTTGGCACACACCGATGGCTGAAAAGTACTTTTGTCCCTCATTCAGACAATCCTTAAATGGCCAGAAAATGCGGCGGGATAGAGAGGAACTGAAAAAAACTAGCAGGCGAGAAGACGGGGGCGATTCAGTGCAGTGGCACAAAACACTGTCCCCATTTTATTGAACCCTTTTTCCAAAGGGATGTGGAAACAGTAATGGACTTGGTCTTGAGGCAAAGCAGGAGCAGCAGATCGGCTAGGGAGAAGGGGATTGGATACACTAAAGGGGGAAGGGGATTGAGATGGAAACATTTTAAAAATCTACAGCAACACAAAGTCTAATGGTGCAAGAGACTGGGGGGTTTATAAAACGCCACAGCAGGGGCATCTGAATACTGCTCTGAAATTAGAAAAAATGCACAGTTCTCATTTGCAGGAGCTCAAGACGGCTTTGTGGCTTTTTCCAAATGCCACTTGACTTCTACCATTTGTTTTCATTAACATTAATCTAGAAAATCCAACTGATGATACAAGCGCAGCGGTGCAGGGCAGAGTGCCATCCTCAGCTCTGCAGGCTCCATTCCTCTGGCCCGGCACAGCCACAGCCTGGGGGATGCCCGCCTCCTCGTTTGTGCCAGAGAGGCTTTTCATGAGGCAGGGGAGCCCTTAGATGACTGAGAGTTCCATTAAAGCTCAGTAGAGATGATGAACTGCTGCAAAACCCAAAACCCAGATGACTTCAGAGAAAACATTTGCTCCAGTCTGGTGTAGAGCAACGCTGACTCGGGACACATTCCTCCATGAGCAGCGAGGTGTGCGAGCAGCACCGGCCGCCTGCCTAACCGGCTGCCGATGACAACTCTCCAGACCAACGGGAGCACACAGGGCTGGCAGGGAAAAGGCTTCGACGGGCTGCTGGTGTAAACATTCTGCCATATGCTCCTGCGGGGGGAAATCAACACCACTACAATATCTCAGTAATTTAACCCAAAAAGAAATACAGAGAACTGTTACCGTTACATTAAAAGGATTTACAAGCTGCCAAGCATCACAAACCAAACGCATATATTTTCGCTGCTTAGAAGTTTGATAAACAAAGATTCATGATGTTAAATCTGAGCAAAAGAATCCTGTGGAAAATATTTTCTGACAGAGAAACACTGGGGTTTGACACGCTCTGCCTCCACAAATAGATACGGTGCTGGTTTTTGTCATCGTTCACTGACTGCTGTTCAATAACGAAGGCATCAATTCAATGAAGTGGCAGACTGTGCATTATCATCTAAAGATCATTTATATACAAGTTGTTTCTAAAAAAAAAGAAAAAGAATAATTAAATCTGAGACTCCCCAGACAGCTTATTGCTTTTAGACTGGAGCGACATCAGCCCAGTGATTGAAGCCTGCTTGCCAATTGGTTACCAAACTTTAATTCAAACTGTGCACCCTGCAGAGGAGCGCGTAATTACTAGCAATTTATACTCGACTTTAATTGGCAGCGGATCTGCTGAGAGACAGATGTCTGTGAGCACAGCTGGTTTTGGAGAGTTGCTGCTGGTGACTGGGCAGAAATAAAACCAACAGAAATCGCGTTCTTCCCTTTTAGTACTTCCCAACAGACGTCATGTGCGATGACTAAAGAAACCAGTCCAATTTCTGGGGGTTGAATCATTTTGAATTCTTGCCAAGGGTTTGAAGTTGGCATACGACAGGATGGAAGCGTTTCGGTTGCAGCGGGACCAAGTCAAAGATGGTCCTCGGCGCAGCTATGCCAGCTAAGTGCGTGTGCACTGCCCTCAGAGTGTAAACATTACAGGGCATGCTAAACACCAAAGACAGGCCTCGATCCTGTGGAGTGGGAACTGATAAGATCCAGAGGATGCATTCCTGGGCTGTGAGAAAGCAACTGGCCATGACTACGAGATAAGAGAGACATGGCTCCTTCACAGTCGTGTGATCTTAGAAGCCTGACAACACGTAGAAGGTATGCAGTGACAGATCGACCGGGGGCGTTCAACACCGTGTGTATCAAAGCCGGACCAGGATTTGAGCTTCAGCAAACTCCTGTCAGAAGTGTTCTGAATAATTCAAGTGTGCAGCTCGTTGGTTTCTGAAAAACTGGTCATGGTCTGAGAGGCCTACCTCTGATCACCATGTTCTGCCACAACCGATTTCACATGTCACGCTCATAACACGGATAGCTCTTTATGGATCAGTCATTAGTGGATACATTCTCATATTACTAAACAAAAATAAAAGATTCCCTGAGCTCAGCTTAATACCCTGAATACGCCCCTACTTTCCTGTGCTGTTGGCCAACAGCCTAAAGCACCAGAGACCATACTGTGAAAACTAAGAACAAGTTCTACCCGGCTCCTGTTCAGGGTTCTTTAGCCCCACTCAGTTTGGGAGAAATCCCACATCCAGCGATGCCAACCCAACACCCACAGCTCCTGTGAGCTCTTTAGCGGCCTCCACCCCGGAGCTACAGACTCCTCCGTCTCCCTTTGCCTGGTTGATATTAAACTATTAGGAGCTGAAGCTGCCTCCCCCATTTGGGAGGTCAGCGCTGGCAGAGTCTCTAACATCTGGACGGCACGCTTGGCCAGCAATAATGCCGCCTTTGTTCCCCTGCCATATTCGCTGCTCACAGGCCAGCTTTGAAGAGCCAGCGGGCTCCTGCAGCAGGGCAGAGGCACAGCAGCGCAGGCAGGCACAGCAGGGCTGCAGGAGGCATCTGGCCAGTCCATACATGTTACTGCGGTTTGTAAAACATCATCTGGAGCTGACTCACACTCCCCAATACGAGCATTTATGAACCTAAATGGTCTGACAAGAGCAGCTGGGATTACAGTCATAAACAAAAACAAAAAAAGGGCCATATTTATTTTCTTTCCAGTCTGTAGGAGGTTGTTTTCAGCCTTTTCCTTCATGCTGACACAACACAAGTCAGTGTAGGAAAGACCACCAAATTACATACTTCCATTTCCAAAGTCAAACAAACTTCTGGGAGGACATAGAAGCTTTTGCCTTCGAGCAAAAAGAAAAAAAAAAGAGAAAAAAAAAACTCCACAGGTTGCCCTTCTGCAGTGTTTGCAAGGGATGCAAAGAAAATGTGCTCTTTTTCTCCAGTTAAAAAAAACCCAAGACCGCTGAAGAGTCAACTGTGGGTGATGGAAACATTAGTATGAATAAGTTACAACAAACAAAACATCATAATCTTGGAAATCCTGCTGAACTTTCGGCCTGTCAGCCAACGCTCACTAAGAGAGAAGTCCACATCAACTCAGCCCACAAGAGGTGGGCTTCACTCCGAATATTAGTGGATTTCACAAAAAAGGGACAAAGTTAAAAAATCATTCAAAGCTTGACATTCCCACAGCAAAACAACGTGACAAGCAACGAAAACAACAACAAAACACGAGCACCTCCACAACACTGCGGCGGCTGGCGGTGTGGAGGTGGGAGGAATGGCGTGGAAAGGCTCGCAGTCGCCTCGGAGAGTAGCACAAGTACTCCACAACAGAAATGTTTCCGTTATCTCCGCCTCTCCACTCCGGCAGACTCAGCTGCGACACAGTCCGTGATCCCCCCCAAGTCCGCGGTGGCCTTACCTTTACGCTGCGCCCCGCGCTCCCCCTCCGGGTGGAAGTTCGCAAAGAAAACACAGGTAAAGAAAAACAAAAAAACAAGCGTGAAATCCGCTATTTTCTCCCTCCCTCACCATTTGCTCAATAGATCACTTCAAGCGAACTGCAACAAAGTCGCGGTTCCAAATCGGAATAGCAGCTGACCGCTGCTCGGAAAACGGACGGAGGACGTTTAAAAAGCCGCCGTCCGCAAAGTTTGCGTGCCTCCTCTCCGGGCGCTAGTCCTCTGCGGTCTCAGCCGCAAGCTGCGGAAAATGCCCCTCTCCTCTCCCCCCGGTTCATTACTCCTGCTGGTAAATACATCGCGTTGGAACTGGGACACCGCAAGGCATTGTGGACTGTTTAAAGCTGCAATACACTTACTCTGAGGGGAGGATACCTTCATCCAGGAGAGGCCCCCTGAGCCGTAATTCAAACTTGGTCTCACACACACACACACACACTATCACACATTACGACCACCCCGAGTTGTCAAACCCTTGTTATCTTTGTCGTACTTACACGGGACATAGCGGGATTGCAACTTTAAGAGGGTAAACTGTAGAAAACCGCTCAGAACAGGAATATATCTCCCTGCAGGCACACTGAATCACAAACTGGAGAGGTGTTTCATGGATGTGTCTGTGGCTTATATCATACTATAAGCCTTCAACCCATTTAACAACAGGAGCTTATTTGAACTTCTTTATAATGATGCACAGCTTTTGGTTTGGGAGTAGGGATGTTCTATCACCCATCTGATTATATTTTATTAATACAATAAGAATATTATATATTAAGGAAAAACTGTGCGGAAAATGAGTCATTTATTGCTTTCTTAAGCAGAGGCGATGACGTCAGGTGTGTAATCATCAATATGATCATCAGGTGGTTTTCTTTTTGCAGCTGCATCAAATTATCTCTTGATGAGTCCCCTAATGCAGCATGCAATAGAGGAGGCATGAGGAAATGCAGCTAATGCAACTGCAAAACAGACTACAAAAGAAAAAATAATATCTGCTTTAAATTTAACAAACCGAGTCTCCATCATTTTAGTAAACAAGTTGTCCACAACTGAACTAGAGAAGGCAGTTAAGCCTTGATTGGCTGTGGTGATAATCTGCAAAAGGGGCTGTGTTTTTTGGGACAGTCACAGCAAACATCCAAACCCCCCCACCCTCCATTGATTGGCTAAGAGCTCGTCCAGGGACATTCTGTTCTGCCAGGCCATTAAACTGGTGTCTGCAATGCCTTTAGAACCATCCTTTGTTTAATGGACAGATCTTTGTTGGTTGTAGCCAATGCAATTTGTTCAGCCTACACTTTTGTCAACAGTGGCCCACCAAAAGAACACCCAGTCGCATCAGTTTAATGCAATATATAGAATGCTATGACCAATTGGATTAGAGCACATCTCCCCTCCGGTTAGAGTACCATCTATGCTTTGCAGACAGCAGATTGAATCCTGGCTTTCTTTTATGCAGGGTAGAGCTATCGCATGCCACTATTTCCGTCGTCTTTCTGGGTGGAGTCCGGCTCAGCGCTACCTTCGTCCCGCATGTGGTTGGGCGCTTCTTTTGGCATGTGGCTGAGAGAAGGAGCGGGGAGGCCTGTTCTGGGAACACTGTGGTGGCAGAAGGTGCACAGGGCTGAGCAGAAGTGGCAGAGTTTAAGGCTGAACTGAGTCAGGCCTCAGCTCTGAGGCCGCGAAGTCAGCGAAGGATGCCGATGGAGAGAGTGATGCTGATACAGAGGCACTCTGTCAGGCACACCTCAGGAGAACCAGGCCTCTGCAGGGACTCCTGACAGACCAGTTAGAACCAGCTCAGGAAGGAGAAAAGATGGAAAGAGAGATACACCACTAATTAAGCAAGAGCAGACCAGAAGATACCTTGAAGGAGAGAGCATGCATAACCTGCCAGGCTCAAATGAAACCATGTCTTGTAGGTTTTCTGACTTGGCGTGGTGACTTGTAGCACACACATTTCCACTAATGGTTCAGTACAAACCACTGACCGGCTCAGAAAAATCAATTGTAAAGATGATCTCTCAGAGATGCCTTCTGTATTCTCACAGATTCTATCCTACTACTAACACTAATCTTGAGTCATAATAATTCAGTAATAATGATGCGATTGAAATGAGTAATGTAATTAAATGTATTGTTTTATGACAAAGTCATCGTAATAATGAAATGAAGTTAATAAATTAACTACAGATGTTCTCAATAGTGCTTCCTTTGCTTAAAAAAAACAAACAAAAAATAATTGACATTATTTATGTTCCCCACCTGTGTGTAATCCAGATGGGCTAAATGTCAGAAATGACAACTGAAATTCTGTTTGGGTTCTAACATACCCGTCACTGATTCTGAGAAGATCATTCAAATGCCTATTTTATGTCTGAATATGTGCTAAATCCAGGAACTTTAGTTTAATTGAAGTGAGTGAAGGCATTGGTGGTCAAACACCGGGGATACATCCTAAACCCCTGGTATCAGGTTACAGGTCTGGGCCGGGACAGTATGTGTGAGTCAGTATATCATATGTGAGACACAGGTATGTGTTATGGCACAAGGATCTCATATTTATCCAACCTTCAGACATGTGGAATGTTTAAACAAGAGATCAAACACAGCTTTCTTCAGAGGCAACAGAAAAGAAGATGTTTAAATCAGCAATCTCACATTTAAGTCAGTTTAAAGCTAATTAATGCAACATAGTGAAATTTGAATTGCTCTGTAACTTAAAACAAAAGATGTAGATATTTCTGTCAAATTTATAGATTATGTCTTTTGTGTCTGGGCTAGAATGACACATTATTGTGTATTTTCTTTCAGGAAATGTTTCCATGACATAATTTTAAAAATACACAGTTTCAGCAAAGAAGGGAAACATATGCTTGCATTTGTCCTGACACTGCAAAATATGTCAACTGTGAATACAACAAACCCTTTTATTTTTTGTTAAAAATGCAAGACCGATTTGTTAAGCATAAATTAAACTATCAGATGATGATCCACATCCGATATAAAACATTCAGTAGCAGATGTAAAGCGCAGAATTCCTCTGAACGTTGCGCAGCCTGGTGGTTTTATTTAATCAAAGGCATTCAATAGTAAATTAAGGAGTATTTCAGCGTTTCCTATCTTGTTCCTAACATTGGTAGTGAGTGAGGAGTTCATTATGGTGACCCTGAGGTGTGAAACATGATAAAATTGGACAAGGCACAACAGGCACAACAACAGAATGGCATGTCGCTATACTATATTTGTGTTGTTTAAACTTTATGTCTTCTTTTTTTTTTTTAACATTATGTCTTCTAAAACGCTGTTGGGTTTGTAAAGATTTTATTCTCTATTTGTTGTCTTGTCATACATATCAAGGTTATGCCATTTTGGTGCATGCCTGGGAATGTAATCCTGTTTGAGAGAGTCCTCATGATGACCCCTTTCTAGGGAAATGTTATGTCTTGAGATAGGGCAAAGAAAATTAATAATTCATTGTAATGTTAGCAGCAATACCCTTTTTGCCAAAATCAGGAAATATAAAACTTTCAGCTGATGAAAGCATAATTTTCTTTCCTCTCCCTCTCATGGAACACTATTCCTTTTTTTATTATGGGCAGGAGAACCCTGAGCAGTGGAGATCTTGTATTGCAAACACAAGCATCCAGCTATGTTGTGGCAGAAAATACATTGCCTGCAGGAATGAAAGAATTTACACTTTTTGCTTATACAATCAGTCATTTTTAAAGAATGTATTGTACAATTTGAAATGTTTCTGCACAAGATGAAAGTTTCATGCAATTTCTTTGTAAACAGTAAAGTCTGCTTTAATATTTTGTGTTATTCTAGACATTCCTAAAATGTTTTGGGTAACATACAGCATCCTTTCAGCCGCAGATCTCCTGAAGTAACACAGCCAGAAAAGTCAAAAGCTTTGAAATGGCACAGCCTAGTGGGGTGGCAGAGCTAGTGCTGGCCAGAGAACTAACAGAGAGGCAGTCGATAAAGACAAATACCTCTAATGAGTGCAGGAACATGACAATAAATACCTGAAATACTGTCATATTTTTGTTCTACTAAAGGTTGTTCATGTTTGTTGGGCATTGCTTATTGTTGTTTAGCATACGTTAAAACGTTCGTTTTTTCCCCACCACTAAGAGCTGAAAAAGAGATGTTTCTTGCTTTCTTTTTCAGTTCTACCATACATGATATTTTCTAAATGTGAGACTATTAGCTTAGTTGCACATCTTAGCGCTGTTCCCCGCATGCTTTGCGCAGCAGGAACCCCGATGAACGCTCTGGAAAACTGACAAGGGATCGTCAAATCACTTCCTTGCTCGGGAATGACGTCTCTCCGGCACATTCCAGTTATATTTAGAGCCTATATATAGTGGAGTCGCCCCCTAGGTTTTGTTGACTCTGCAGCAGCAGTGAGCTCCCAAGGAGTCATGAAACAGACCCTGGGTGACCCATCCACATACGATATTGTGCACGATCACTAAAACGTGAATGTTGACGGTTTCAGTTGTTTATGAATTAAAGTGTTCTGGTAACGTTTGCTCGCGCACACATTTGGCAGAAACCGTCAGGAGCGAATAAAACCCGCAGTTATATCTTACACCGGACTGAAACAGGAGTGTACAAACAAAAGGTGTGTGGGGGGGGGGGGGGAAACAATGCGCATTATTGCTCGTATTGCGACACACAGACTTGAGTGATATGGGCCAGACCGGCTGAAATCCCCAGCTATGCTTTGTGGGTAAAGTGCGTCCTGGTATCCGCCCATATTCGCGTAACGCAGGCCAGACCCAGCAGCTAGGCCGGACGCTGGATCAGATGGAAAGTTCAATCGATTAATTTACCCACTTTTGTGCATGCTCCCCCTCGCTCCCGAACCGACGTTAGACCCACTTAAATGTGGGTATTTTGGTGACACCCAGGAAATGCGGAGATCGAGTGAAACGAGGGGATAAGCCAGCTCTGACTTCTTTGGTCTCTTACTTCGGACGCGGAACTCCACTCGCTAAAAGGTAAAACCGACGGATACGACTATTTCACGGGTGACCTTTTTCATTGATTGTTGCAACGTTGTGCCCTCTGTGGCCGTGGGTAGGTCACCGTGTACGGGCGACGTAAAACTCTGAACTTCAACCGCTACGGCGGAGCTCTTCACGGTCGTTTTTTTAGTACAAACTACGCCCAATTGCGAGCCCACCGTCTGGCCCTGCATTGCAGACCTGAGACGGGTCTGTCAATGGCGGCTCCCAAATCTGTACCCTTCCCCTTTGAATGAATGATAAGTCGGCGTGTCCGGGAACACGTTTGCAGGCAAAGCAGAGCACACTGGGCTTTTAATGAAAAAGACACCACGTTAGCTCGCTGGGTGGGTGGAGGTGGGGGTGGGGGGGGCAACGTTTTCCTACTTTTGGAGCCGTCGGCGAGCCCCATTGCTAGCTAGCGCCAGCTAGCAGGCTAGCTGCCCGCTGCTCGGCCAGCCGAGCTGCAGCCGCGGGGCGGAGGATTTAAACCGAATTCCTTTCGCCCTTTAAGCCGAGCCCCGGTGTCCCAGCCTGCTACCAAACCGTTTCGGGGCTTTCGCTTTAAACCCTCCCCAATTTACGTAGCCAGTCTAATGCTAATAACAAGGCAAATCGGTCTACAAAGTGTTGGAAGTTCAGTATTGTGCGTTTCCCATTCCCCCACCACCCCAGCCACCATGATATATATAGCAAATAATAATAGTTAAGACCCCGTAACAGGCACGGTTGCTGCCGTTTATTTACGCCGTCCAACTGACACCGTCTCGGGGAGACCGGCGTCCGTCTGAAGTCCACATCTGGACAAGCGTCCAGCAGCCGGAGGCAAAAAGAGCTGAGTTCCCGCAAAGCCTCCAGGCGGTGCCGTTAGCGGGGCGGCGGAGGCGCCTCCACCGGGGCCAGGGCTACCGGGGCTGGGCTTAACATGGCTGGGGCCACCGGGGCCGGGGCCACCTGCCCGTCCGCCACACTCCTCTCTCCCCCGCTGCATAGGGATGCTGCTCAGGGGATGTTGTTAAAGCATGACGTCCGTAAGGCAGATAAGCATTCCTGTTTTTTTTCTTTCTTTCTTTTTAACTCCATCAGCAGTTTTCCCTGCTCAAGTTGAGATAAGTGACAGAACAGCTTAACTGGAAAATGTTGGGAAACTTGAACAAATCTGCATTTCTGGACTGAATACTCATAAAACCTTTAATTTTTTTGTGTGTGCATGTGTCTGTGTGGCACAGTTGTGTTTGGCGGGGCACCTCCTTGAGAACAGCATGTGCACAGTTTTGTACAGTTTGCACTGTAACTTCTGAAAAGCCCAGCTGCCACTATTGATGGATGCCGCTCTGCACAGCGGACAACAGAGAGCCTCCCAGTTATCTGTCAATTTTGGAGCCTACTTGTAATCTCATGGATTTTTCTTTTTTTTTGCCTGGGGTTTGTTTGTTTTGTTGTGTTGCAGCACAGAAAAAAAGCGTCTAGTGTACTGCTGGAACAAGCCTTTTGATGATTCAACACCCTATTTATCATTTCTCACATACTTTATTTTTTTTTACTGGATATTATACATTTTCATGTAAGATGTTATGTTCAATTTTTTCTGCTTTCTTTAGTGTTTTGTGTATTTTTACTTCAAGAATCTCTTTTGGACCCATTTCCTGAGAAAAGACCTTGTACCTGGATTCACCATACTTGTTCTGCTTGTTATGCCAGATGGATACTAGATAGGTTTGAATTGATTCAGCACTCGACTTACAGTGTTTTCTCTTTTTTCATGCACTGAAGTTTGAATGCTGTTGCTTGACTTGTATGTAATTTTAGACGACTTTGTCTTTCCAAATTTTCAGTGTCATGAAAATTAATGACACATTTCTTACTCTTGAAGAGAAATGAAAAGGATATTTTCTGAAAACCAAACAACTGAATGAACAATTCAGACAATTTCAGTACTCTTTATTTTCCATTGGAAAATGATCAAGCATCAAGTTCTTAATAATTTCAAAGATATCGCTTTTTCTTTGTGTTAATGAGTTTTTTCTTTCTTTTTTTTTGTCCCACAGGTGAATCATGACAGAATACAAGCTGGTTGTGGTGGGAGCTGGAGGCGTTGGCAAGAGTGCGCTCACTATTCAGCTCATCCAGAATCACTTTGTGGATGAATATGACCCCACCATTGAGGTAAAGTAGGTTCGGGTGTGTGGGCTCCTAAAACTCCCCGTGCTTTTGCAAACTGTATCAGATCGGAATGGGACAGAAGGAGGGCAAAACTCTTGCTGCAAAGAGCTGCAACAAGTTCCACTGGTTCAAGTTTTGAAGCGACACCAAACTGGTTTTTAATGACTTTCCATGTTTGGCCGCCTGCCCAGTTTCTCAGAGTGCCAGCCTATAAACTGTGAACCGCGTCATCACGATTCCAATCTATTATTGATTCCCTGTTGCAGGTTTCTTTGCTATCATAGGTTCATTAGATTAATTTGACAAAAGCTGACGTCTGAAGATCTGACTATTGAGTCGGTCTGAAAGGACTTTTTAATCTGCTGGATGAGATTGACAGCAGCCATCAGTGTGAAAACTAGAATAGTTTGTCGGCACGTGAGACCTCATTGTAATTTGAGGTCTGCTGGAAAATCGAGTGCTTCGTTCCAACCAGAGAAGGGCAGTAATTAAGTGGAATCCTGTTGCAGCTTTGATGGAAACATGTCATTACAATGCCTGAAGGTGGCCATGCTGGAATAGTTACATTCAACTCTCTGTGCGGATCAAACATCTGATCAGACTTTCATTTAATTTGGTAGAGTTTACAAAGCCGAGCGTTTGCTGGTTTTCCAGCAGAAGTAATCCACCTGGTCACTTGGTTCATTTGTTAAATGGGTGCCGAATGAATTGTGTACAACACAACAATACAACACTTGCAGTAAATGAAATCTGAATCAGGCCTGACTCTGAATGGGCCGTGTCATTTTCAGCTTTTTTTCAGCCTATAACCGCTCTGTAACCTCTGTCTCTTCCAGGACTCCTACAGAAAGCAGGTGGTTATCGACGGGGAGACGTGTCTGCTGGATATCCTGGACACTGCAGGTCAGGAGGAGTACAGCGCCATGAGGGATCAGTACATGAGGACAGGGGAGGGCTTCCTCTGTGTCTTTGCCATCAACAACACCAAGTCTTTTGAAGACATTCACCACTATAGGTAAGCGGGGAGATGGTCCAGTCTTCAGCTTTTTAGATCTGATGCCAGTGTTCGAACGAGGTGGTAAAATGACCAGCTAAGGGGGGAATGAGTTGCTCACATTGTTACCGTGTCAAAGGTTGGACCCGAGCTTCTCTACAAGACAGATACAGATGTTTCCCTTTGTTTTAGCACTCACAAATGTTAGTCACGGTGTATCAAATGCATTTACAAATCTTCATTGCGACATTAAGCTTAAACATAAAAAGTGTTATTTTTTCAAACTTTGTTTTTACTGGTAAAAAGTCTTCCTATAACTTTGTTTAAGAATTACAGTGAAACCTCTGAGTTGTGTCTTTGAATGTGCAGAGAACAGATCAAGCGGGTGAAGGACTCTGAGGACGTCCCCATGGTGCTGGTGGGGAACAAGTGTGACCTTCCGTCCCGGACAGTGGACACAAAGCAGGCGCATGACTTAGCACGTAGCTACGGCATTCCCTTTATAGAGACCTCAGCCAAAACCCGACAGGTGAGCATTTGCGTGATTCTGAGCTGCGGCTCAAATTCACTTTGACCTCAAACAGAGCTTTTTGGGAAAATAAAAACGGATGCATTTTTGACAAGGGCCACTGATAAGGTGTGATAAATTTCCCAAGAAATGTGGTTGAATCATGTGCTTCTGTTGATTTTGTCCCATTCACTGCCTCTAATGGTCTTTTTTTTCTTTTCTAATGGCATGGCTGGGACATTTCCCAGCTAATGTGTTGAGCATCATTAAATCCACCCTGGTTAATCGAATTTTTTTATTTATGGGTGATAATTTAATCACTGCATGCTGTTTTGTCATGGATATGTGAAATTACACCACCATTAGGCCCACCTGCAAAGCAGCCCACGTGATAAATGATCAGCAAATCAGTTCGTATGTGCCAAGGGATCTGCATGAAAGGACAAACTGTCAGTAATTACTCAGGGGCTTAATGATTCTGCTTACTGGTCACTGTGACTGGGTGTTGGAAGATATGCAGCCGTGTGGCGTCGAGCGCTGTGTGCCGTGAGCATGGCCTCAGGTGGCTGATGGAGTGGTCGGTAAAGGCATTTTTCTTGGTCTCTGACCCGGGGTGAATCACGGTTCCTTCTGGTGTGGGGAAATAATTGCCGCAGTGACTACGGGTAATTTTCTTGCCGCTCTGTTCTCCTCTCCCTACCTGAGGGTGCCAGTAATTCCTGTCCAGTTTGTGCTGATTCTCTTCGACCGGCAGCTGTCCCCTTTGTTTTCTATTGGGAGCTAATTTTGTTCTCAAATTGAAATCACTTTATCATGTTTCTCTGCAACATTTTTTTTAACATCTAATGCACACTATACAAATTACACTCACAATTCTCACTGTGATTAAGCCAGGTTAAAGTCACACCACACCCAATTATCCACCAGCTGTGGGCTTGGAAAGCAGCTGTTTATCTAGCTTGTAAATATAGATGATTCATCTATTGAATGTTTTCAGCTCAGGGTAACCCCCCCCATTTTTTATTTAAATAATCAAGTAATTAAGTTTTCCAAACCCTCTTCTATCGATAGGTTTTTTCAGTATGTTTCATTGTTTTCCAGAATCCAGCTGAATCCCTTGCTTCTGTTAGAGATCGGAAGAAGAAAAAAGTATTGACATAGAAGCAGTGGATCGACTCAATTTTGGCAAACAGCATAATATAAATCTTTTTTCTTTTCTTTTTGCTGTTGTCAAACCCATTCCAAATACCTCTTCCTTTATAGAGGGGAAAAAAAACAGATGCTTTCCAAGCCAGAGGGTACGAGGTGCACACACACACACACACACACACAGGACAGAGCAGGCACTTCAGGAAGATCAGGTCCAAAACGGATCACCTGTCAGTTTTGCTTCTTCATATCACATGCACCCATACAGTATGTCCCCATGCATTCCTCAGCATTGAGGAAAGTTGTGTCTTATACTGCAGAGAGTGGAAGATGCCTTTTACACTCTGGTACGGGAGATCAGGCAGTACCGGCTCAGTAAGCTCATCAAAGAAGAAAAGACCCCGCGCTGTGTCAAGCTTAAAAAGTGTGTTGTGATGTGAGAGGGGTAAGTGTACGCAGCCGCGCACCCACCAGCTTTCTGTGTGTTGATAGTGGGAAATGCAGATAAGGCGGTGGACGAGAACACCCGGTGGGGGGTGTGGGGGGGTTTCGGGTGGCTGGTGCTTCATGTGTTCTCAGGCTGCTGCTAGGGCTGCGGTGAGGCTGCATCACGAAGCCCGAGCAGCCGACTTCTTGTCTTTTCGGTGTCGTGGTGGACTGTCCTAGGCCGTTTTCACACTGGGTTGATTTGTCGTGTCTGAACGACCATGATTCGATGTGGTCAACACCTTTCCCCCACGCCCCACAGCAGAGTTGAGCTACAGGTGGAGTTCAATCCGGCCTTTTCTTTAGCACTGAGGTTGAGTCTGGGAGGGGAATCCAGCTCCTGGCTGAAGTGTGTCCCATGTTGCAACACTTTGGTCCATGTTCAAGACACCCTGCTGTTCCCAGATTTCTACTTGGGGCATTATCGTGCATGAAAATATAACCGAAATCACTGCACAGATGTCTGTAAGTTACTGGAGTGGTAATATTTCCATTGACTCTGCTAAAACATCTTTTTTATTTATTTTTTATTTGAGTGAGTGTCTGGAAATGCCAGTTGACAGTCCTAATGAGATGATTTTCCACTCAGATTCTGAAGCTTTTAGTCATCTGACAAAAAAAACAGAAAAGCATTTGACAGAGAGGAACTTTATATGGAGGGTTCCTATTTTATATATTTATTTTCCTCCCCCAAAAAGTTGGATCTTTGTAGTACTTGTGGAGCATTCCAAACCTCAGCCCTAGTGTCTGGGTGTTGGTCCGATTTAAGACAAGCAGCATTTCCTTTAGTTTTAGTTGCACCGATTTCTCAGAGAATTTAAAAAGGTGTTTTTGGTTGGACTAAACCGATACTGATTTAATCATTATTATTACTATTATTACGTTAAGTGTACTTCTTTTAAATGAAAACCCAAGGGCCCTTAATCTGTGCTCATAGTGAAAGTGAAATTCAGACTCACCAGTGTGAAAGTGTCCTGATGTGCTGAAATAGGCGTGAGCACAGTGGTGCGGGCTGGTGGGAGGTCGGAAGATGTGACCCGTGAATGTGGGATTAAATCATACTGCAATCTCTGTATTCTCAAAAACTGACACATGTTGTCTTAAAAAAAGTGTGTGTGTGTCTTGCCTGTACAATTTTCATCTCCATCTTTGTCCTTTGTTTTTTCTTTCCTGCTGTCTCTTTCCACAACCTGAAATGACCTCAGATTCTTTACCCAGCAGCTCTCGGGAGATTTATCTCACATTTATTTCTCTCTCCAGACTGTTCAAGTACAGGGCCACTTGTGTGTTTGTGTGTGTGTGTGGTGTCAACAGGCACGAGCTGCTCCCCCACAAAGCCTTTTGTTCACATCGGACAGAATGAAAGCCTCATTTAAAGTCATCAGGCCGAAGAAATCCCCCCTCCACACACACGCACAAAAACACCTTAAAAAGATGCGTTTTTTTTTTTTTGGTCCTCATCACAAATCTCAGTTCTTTTTTCCCCTCAGAGGACTCGCATCTGAAAAGTTCATCATTCTAGATAAAATGGACTATGTGTTGCCTCCTGACAAACCCTCAGCAGTAAGATGGTGCATCTTTTTTTAAAATTACCTTTGGCTGATGGAATGCACACAGACGTCTGCTCATGGAAGTGGGACATCTTGTACCGTTGGGTTATTAGGCAACACCTTAAGCACTTTAAACACTCGCGGTCTGATGGCATTCAAAGGGAGAGAAATGAACTCGTGTAACGTCAGCTACTGTTTGTGTTGCTGTCAGTGGCAACACGGCTGACTTTTACCCTGATATGTATCTTTGATCTGTAGGAGTGTCCTTTCTTTATTGTATAAGTCTCCAGTGTGTGTCACTGACGCTTAACTGATAAGAAATCAACTTCCGGCTTTTTCAGTGACACTTTGAGAGATCCAAGTTTGATTGGTGTGGCTTTTGAAGTAAAGTTCTAAGATGAAAAGTAATGTTTCAATTTAACAGTGGACGACTCTTTTCTTTCTTTCTTTCTTTTTTCCCCAGGGCGTTGACGATGCCTTTTACACATTAGTCAGAGAAATCCGGAAGCATAAGGAGAAGATGAGCAAGGAGGGCAAAAAGAAGAAAAAGAAGTCCAAGACAAAGTGTATACTGATGTGAATAACCACCCCTTTTCATGACAGACTAAATAAAAACAAACAGTTCAAGTAATACATTTTGTACATTACACTAAATTATTAGCCTCTTTGTTAATAGCCACCTCACTTAATACTAAACCTGACCTGACTTTTCTGCCTTTGGTTTATTTGGGCACCAGTAAGCTTAATTTTCAGTTTTGTGCCAGTTGCTGACATGTATTGGTCCCACAGTCTTATGAGCCAGATTTTCTTTTTCTTTTTTTGTAAAAAAAAGAAAAAGGAAAGACGATGATTTGGATGATTTGACTTAAGTGCAGAGCTGGGAGCAAACTGCATCAGCACCCATTTAACAAATGAACCATTTTCATTCGTTTCCCTTTGCTTGAAAGGTCGCAACCTGCAAACGTTCTGTTATGGCCTTTTTAAGAAAAGGATGCCAAAGAATGAGTATCTGTCCCGCTCACATAGACGAAACGGATGGGAGGAAAAGGACCAACATTCAGCCAGATGAGATCCAAAATGTCCCAGCCACTGTGTAATGTCCCCATTTCTTACTTTTAGGTAGGACTTAGTTTGGTCATTGATAAGAATGCTTGCATGCTCCTACTCTTCCCCCGAATGTTTTAACACCCTAGTTAGCTATTAATTTTCAATTTGTCATTGCTTTGTATTGTGTGGGGAGTGATTTCATGCGTACATGCAAAGAGATGCTATTTTTCTCTTTTTTTTCTTTTTTTTTCTCCGCATGCATTGTGTCCTCGATGCCGTGTATCCAAACTGCCTCTAAGTTGATGTGTTGAACAGAGCCAGCAAGGAGGAACTGGGACTCTACTTTTAAGATTTATAAAAAAAAAAAAGGTCGATATTTACTTTTGTGAGAATAAATCCAATGTTTTTCTCTGCTAAATGACAAACTCAAAGAATTGAACCCATTTTGTTTTTGTCAGTTATTTTTAACGTCTCAGAGATTTATGCCTTGTTTGATGCTACTGTGGAATTTATTTTAATGATCATGGCAACAATCATTTCATTGCTATGTGTTATAAAGTATGTTGGTGTCATCCCCGCCTGAGGACTTCACCTTTGAACTTAATCTTTGGTAAATGCTCAATTCGAGGAGTCATCTGCGTGGAGCTTTCTCGCTTTGTTTGCCGGACTAACATAAAAGCAGCATGCAGCTTTAAAGCCGCTGTAAGGAATATTGTATATTGGTATCGAGTCCCCGAGGTTGTTCAAAAGCCAGTCCAAATGTAGTTTCAGAATATCACTTGTGCTTAGGAATGAAATTGGCTGGCGGTCTGCCTTAGAACAGAGATGGTGGTGTATCATATTGATGTAATTGGAAAGGATTTTGTTAAATGAGGCAGTAATTTCCATAAAATAGGTTTTTAGACACAAATATTTGACTTGGTCTTAACAGCCCTATGGTCTCTCTCAGGTCAGTCCATATTGACCCTGGCAAACTGTTTGCTTGGGGATTTTTCTTTGCCTTTTTGATCATATTTTAGGTGCTACATTTGAACAGTAGAATGAGTTGAGACCACATTAATTTTCTCCTGCCTGTGCTCAAGAGATACACAAAATACTGTTTTAGAGATGAAACGCTATTCTCACAGAAAATCACAATTTGATCTTTCTTCTTCCCACGGGGTTAATGGATTCACACCCTGTTTATTATTACCTCTTTTTTTTTAATGAAGTAGATAAATAACTTGATGCAATTTTAATCGTGAAACCCTCCTGTTAACAATACTGTTTCAAAAGTAGTTTTACTGTAATCTTTTTTGAAATGTTCCTCTTCCTTTAACGCGTGCCAACAGCTGATTTCTGAAAAGTATCATTTATACCTGGATCGTATTTTAACAACCTTTGTATAGTTGTGATACTGAAAGGTGCATATTTTGTAAATTGTGCTTCATTCCGTTGGTGTGTTTTAAATGAATGTTGCTTTAATGGAGTTTTACTCCGCTCTGTGTATGTGACTTAGAGAGTGTGACTGGGTCCAGGTCTAGGGAAGTGAATGAATGACCACTTTACAACATACCTGTTGTGGGCAGTGTAGAGTGGTGATCTGATCTCAAATGAGTCTATTTTTTTGCCATGAATCTCACCACTCCTATTTAATGTGTAATAAAGAAAAAGTAAAGAGGAACCAAAATTCTCTTTATGTTGTTTTTTTAATGTATTTAGCAGAAACTTTTATCTAAAGCTACTTACAAAGTGACTTACAAAAATAGGGGGGCACCGAGAATTGAACTGGGGGCCTCTTGATCTGCAGTTAATTGCTCTACCACTGAGCTATCGTTGACCAGATAGAGGTAATCAATCACAAAATGGCGTAACATAGATTAGTTAACAAAAGTGCCCTAAATTATTTCTTTATATTTCTTTCAAATTAACTTTAATTGAGGCCATTCTGTCAGTTTCTTCAGATCATACAGATGTTCTCCAGCAGGGGGCACTATTGAATCACTTTGGAAGGTCGTTTTTCTGACTGGTGTCACTGCTCAGATCATCCCTGCTTTAGCTTTTAGAAGTTAAACACAATTCAGGGCAAAAAATACAGAGCACACCTGTAGCAGGATGAATAAACTAAACCATACCTGCATGATTTTACAGCTGGAGAGAAGGTCACTTTCTCATGTGTCTGTTTATTAGTCTCCGTAATAGATGCAGCACTTCCAGTTAGTTTTGCAAAAAGAAAAGTTAAGACAAAACTTTTGAAGTCTTATGCAACCAGTAGCTTGTCAGGTCTATCATCAGTGTTGCAAAAGGTGACTCATTCAACTTTCCACAGTAAGTTATTTTTTCAGTCTGTTCTTGACATGGCTACAACAATAACCTCTGTAAATTGTTAGTTTTGTGATGAGAATACCAGCTTTCTCAGCATGTCTTCTTTGGAGAGATGGTGAGTAGAGAAGCTATGACATATTTCATGATAATGTGAAAGTGGAAAAATAAGATGGAGCATTCTTGTTTAGAGCAGTACATCTTGATCTATCCACTATATTTGGATACGTTATCATCAATTGGTTGTGACTGACAAAAAAATGCTGCATGAAACTCTGGTAATCGTAACTATGTTTGCTTTTCCAAAATCTTATGAAGGGCTTTATTAATGTCATTTGTGATGCTTAAATATGCAACAACTGGAGTCATGTGGATGTTAAAGACAAGGTGTTCCATGATTGTATCTGAAGGGCGCCAGAAAAAACGTTTTTATTATGTGTCATGAATCATTTTTACTTTGATCTTAATTACTTGTTTGAAATACAGTAAATTATATAGACCCTCTGAAGCGCATTTATTCATGTTTTACAGCAAACGCTCCAGTGATGTTTCATTCAGCCAGCAAAGTTTAGTCCTAACTTTCACTAAGAAGCCAAAGATTTTTTTTGCACTGCAGCATCAGAATACTAATACAAAGCTATTAACATGAAAGAGAGTCTGTTTGCTCTCAAATTAATGTGTAAATACTGGCTTCTTTGCTTTGCATATTGGTGGAACTTCACCTAAGGCATGCTTGCTTTGATTCATCACTTTTTTCCCCAGAAGCGAAATGCTTGATTTGTTAGTGAGATTAAATTGTGACCTCTCTGTCAAACAAAACAAGACTCAAGATCGATATGGTTTATCTTTGCTATGTGATGAACTATAATGGTAACATAAAGTTCAAAGGACAGTCTTGTATAACAGTTGCTGATGATGCTCAAAATCCAAATTCAGCAATTTTAAATTTAGATGTTCTATTGCCTCTACAAATTCAAACCAACTCAAGACCAAATACTTTAAAAACATCACCACAGACAAAATATTTCAGAATTTTTGACATACAAGGTGTTATGGAGGTCAACAGGAGTCTTTGCAGGCATAGTTTTTTTTTTGGACTCGCCCTTATTTACTGCTACAGTGACAGAATTTGCCCTCTGGCTTCAACATGCAGGATTTTGTGCCAAAGGATGTGCTTGTTTAGTCATATTCTGTGAAGGGGGATGTCATGTAGCGTCAAAAATGAGATATTTTCCCTTGCAAATTCCCTAGAAGTAAATGCCAGCTAGATCATGACGATAGACAGTATACAAGCTTCAAAAGGACAGGCTTGTGTATGTGTCATATGGAGTCACTGCTGCTGTAATTGGCTGCAAAACAGTGAGACAACCTCTGCTGCTATATCCTGTTTTGGAATACCATGTTAGCCTTGTTGATATTGGATTGAAAATAGACCGTAGTGAATCATTTTGTCTATTATTTAGAAAAAGAACAATTTTAAACAATTTAAAAAAGAAAAAAAGGTACTAAAAGCTGTTTTCTTTCCGTAGCGCCGTTGTATTTGATTTCTATTAGAATTATTCTTTTTTGGAGTGCCGAACAGCTTGTTTTAAAGGAAGTTAATTTGTTTCCAAACTGTTGAAGTGAACAATAAACTGAGTTAACATATTGTGACAAGCTCCATTACTCTGTCTTCTGAAACAATGGGTTCGCGGTGCCTGCCACATAGCAGCCCAAAGTGAAAAAGAGAGGAGATCTCTGCATGAATTATGTAGAGAGGGCTTTCTCTCAGCCTGACAGGCTGAAACCAGCCTGGAGAAAATTGTAAAAGAAGCGCGAGTCAGTGCAGCCATCACAAATCCCCCTCCCCTTCCCCCGAGGGACCGCCAAAGCCAAGGCCTGTCAGTCAAGCACCCTCTTCCTAAACTGTAATCTTGGGACAGCAGTTAAAACCTGCAAGTGTGATAAAGCACTGAAAAGATGCCCAGGAAACCAATTCATGAAACTTTGCACTCTTGTCAGCAAAAAGTTGGTGGAAAAAAACACTGGGTAAGGGTTCCCAAATTGCTTACAACAAAGGCTGGGCTTTGGGTCCGCGCACCCCCAAACACTCATGGCTTGAAAGAAGTCTGACCACCAACTGGTGAACAATACATGATGAAAGCTCCCTCTCAGTCACTGATTCTGATCCCCGTGAACATGCGCAGAAGACTGAAATCTGACCTGTGCCCGTTCGTGCACGGAACAGGAGAA